AGATCAGCCATTGATAACTCTGTGGAGCATAGTTCTATTCTGGAATATGGGTCCCCAGGAGTTGAAGTCAACGTGACACCAATGGGTTCTTGGTTACAGGCAATAATGAACCTTCTGAAGGTGTTTAGTTAGTAAAGTGACAGGGTGAAACAGTGCTTTGGGAAGCTGAATCAGTTAGAGATATTCAGAAATTAAGGTAGACGTTAGGATGTTGGAGATTCTTGGTTAGATGAGTGAGGGAGCAGTTAGGAGATCTCTGGGTGGTATTGTGGATGGTGACACTGTGAGCCAGAGTGGGAAATGCTGCAGGAGTAGAAGGTGGAAAATTGCATATTGGAGGTGGGGGATTTCCCAAAGCAATAATGATTTAATTAAAGTGTCCAATCCAGTTTCCTTGTTTTGCAAATGAGAATAGTGAGGCTCAGAGTAACAAACTGAATGCTCACTGCTAGGGACAAAATTGTAAAAGAGTGTACCCAGTTTAATATAAAACCTGACATGCTTCCAGACACTATTTTTACATCTGATCAAAAGATTCACTGGTGTGCTGTACCCACTAATAGCATCTATATAATACTAAGTGTAAGTGAAAATAGCATTAAATGCACATTATGACTCTGTTGCCTGTGTGCATTTTTAGCTAGAAATCCAATGCACCAAATGGACAGTTCAGATTGTTGGGACAGTTGTAATGGTGCATCATAGAGCCAGAGAGGGAGAGTAGAAGGCACCTGAGAGCTCAGTCAGACCAACTGCATTTTACAAATGAGAAAATAATCTCTGCGAGACAAACCTATTTTCCTAAGGCTACACTAGTAACCATGGCTAAAAACCCATGTCTTCAACCCTTCAATTCAGTGCCTTCTGCCAGGAGGTTGTTTGATCATTACTGAAGCCATTATGCTAACTTTTGTGATTCAGTTGATTGCTTAGTATTTTTGTACCCCTTGAAACTAAATCATGAGCCATATCTCCATGACTGTGGCAGTGTCTTTAGAGACTAAGAGAAGTGGGCACGGTCTATATGGTGGACTGGATCTTTTCATAGCAGGCATCAGATAAGATCTTTAGGTTAGAAATTCCTCAAGGTTACAAAGTTGCATTTGTATCACAGAGCACAACACCTGGAATATATTAGATATGCAATAAACGTGTCAAACGAGTTGTCTAAATTCAAAGGTGGAACGTTGGGGTGCTGCAGGATAAGCATTGGACCACTAGCCACTAAGCTGCAAGCTCAAACCAACCAGCTGTTCTGTGGGAGAAAGATAAGCCTTTCTACTTGTATAAAGATTTTGTTGTTGTTAAGTGGAGGGTCAGAGAAAAAGAGTAAGACCCCAACGAGATGGATTTTCCAAGTGGCAGCATCTATGGACTCAAGCATGGCAATAGTAGTGAGGTTGGCCCAGGATTGGGCAGTGTTTCGTTCTGCTGTGCATAAGGTTGCTATGAGTTGGTAAGGACTCGATGGCACCTAACAACAACAACAACAACAACAAGTGCTATTGAGTCAGTTCTGACTCATAGCAACCCTGAATAGGGTTTTCATGGAGCAGCTGGTGAGTTTGAACCACTGATCTTGTGGTTAGCAGTCCAGTGCTTATCCTACAGCTCCACACAAGAAGTCCTGTAGAGATTTACAAGGTTGCTATGAGTTGGAATAGACTTTATGGTACCTAACAACAACAAACTCAAAGGCTATTTTTAAGCATAGTCTCTTTTCTTCCATTTTAAAAGTAAATTATCTGTCAGAGATACTTTGGCTGTCTACTTTGCCCATATGTAGACATGCACTAAGAGTCACATGAGTGTCTCTCTCTCTGTCTTTTTAAATAGGACATAGCAGAGAGGGTTGTCAGCTGATAAAATAAGAATAAACTGTGAGTGCTGGCAATGCCCTGATCTGCATATGACCCCGGGCTGGAATGCCAAAACGATGAACTTTCAAGGTCTGCTAGTCCAGTGACCTCAATATATAAAGGGCATTTCTTTCTAGAAATAAGCTTTAAGCTCCTTATTTCTAATCTGATACACATACACTCACAATCTCTCTCTTTCTCTTTCACACACACACATACACACTTTTGTGAACTCCTAAGAAGGTGTAAGGAATCCTGGTGTGGTCCTGTGGGATAAGCACTGGACTGCTAATTGCAATGTCTGCCATTCAAACTCACCAGCTCCTCCTCAGAAACCCTATAGAGGGTCGCAGTGAGTCAGAACCCACTGGATGCCACTTAACCACCACAAAAGCATGAAGGTGGAAAGGAGTCTTGTTGGCACAGTAGTTAAGAGCTTGGCTGCTGGCTGACAAGTCAGCGGTTAGTACCCACCAGCTGCTCTGCAGGATACAGATGAGGCAGTCAGCTTCCCTAAAGATTACAGCCTTGAAAAAGCCCTGGGAAAAAACCTACTCTGACCGACACAGGGTTGCTGTGAGTCTAAAAGGACTCGATTGCAATGTGTGGGTTATTTTTTTATATTTCTCTTTTATGAAGATGTATGCCTATACATTGTTTTTCTGCATAGTCTTAAAAATTACCCTATGCCATGTATTGGAAATGCAAAATCTTTTTTCTTAGGGACCACCTTACGCTACCATGAAAACTTCTGGACAATCAGATTATTGACTAACCCATGACTTTGCTCTTCCTCTGATTAGTTCCCTGAAAGAAATCATAAGACCTCCTTAATACCTAGAGGCCTTCAGAGGCCTCAGTGGTCATAGAAGCCATTTTTCCTGAAATGTCATGCCCCGCCCCTGAGCATTATCAATGGAGATCACTGTTTGCATCAGATATTTAAGAAGAATAAATACAAAAAAGGAAAGAAGTTTAAAGCTTCTTTAAGAAAAGTGGAAGTTCATCTGTGGGCTATGTGTCATAAGAAGATTATTTTATAACTTTCTTTCATGGACTGGATGACTAGAAAAAAATGTTTCTGTGGTACAACCCATGTAAGAAATGTTTTTTAGTATTGTCATGTGCTGGTACTGATAAAATGATCTTCTTTTTAGTGTATAATGGGCACACAGTACACATGTGAGCAACTAGGGTCATCAGTCCCCTACAGTGGGAGACCCTTGACTTTCTTTCATTTTTCTAAATGCTTCGGGAACATTGTTTCCTTACAACCTGCAGTGCTAATGGCATGGTACACAGAACAGCCTAGAAAATAACCTTGAGCTCAGAATTAAGAATAAGTCCAAAGTGTTCTTTGAGGTACATTGACTTGTGTCTTCTTAAATATACGCCATTTTCAGCATCTTATTCCTTCTAAGAAAAGGTGACATATTAAATACACACATATTAAATACACACCAAACATCATTTTAATGTATATGACTATAAGAATCTTGACATTAATAAATTCCCAGATGAGAACAGAAAGCCTCTAGCTGGTTACATACTTGAAGGGTTTTTGTTTTAAAAAGGATGAGCCCAGTCTTCATTAGCTACTGTTTGGGGCAGCCTCTAGTAGAGAGAATTAGAAGTAATAGGATTTTGTTCACCATTTTTAGTCATCTGGAAAGCCTGTAATTTTTCATCACAAACTCTGGTCTGGAATTCTGATTTCAGAATATTGGTCATAATGTCTTTCATATTTTTGAATTTGCTGGGGAAATGGAAAGCAAGCTGAAGCACCAGATAGCTCTAATGTACGGTGCTAAATGCTTTACATATATTAATTAGTTTCTTCTACATGACTGCTCTGAGAGGTGCATATTATTACCATTTTGCAGATGACAATGGCAAAGCTTAGAGTGCTTAAGAAACTCTGTCTGTATTGCCAGTATTCAATTAGAAAATTAAGGATCAGAGCAAACTGATACCGGCTCATTCTGATAGATCCCCAAACTCCAATATCATCTGTTTCTTCTCTCTTTTAAATAACAGAGAGCCTTCATTGTTCAATAATAGATTGCAAACTATTCAATGGTAGAGATTTAGTTCATTGTTGTGTTTCTGGCAACTAGACCAGCTACTGGCCTTTGCAAAGTAGATATCCAGTTAATAGCTATTGAATTTTGTTGAATAAGATGCTCCTGGTACATAAGTCTGAAGGAAGGATAGTACAAGACTGGTTAATAGTTGAAAGCATGTAATGGTGGAAAATGGGCATTGACCATGGATTTAAACAGATCAGGTCTGAATCCTGGTTTCCTGAACTTACCCTTTGTGTTATTTGAACAAGTTACTTAGCCTCTCGAAGTCCCAAATTTCTCATTTGAAAAAATGGTGATAATAATTTTACCTTCCTGGATATTTATATGTATCACAGTTCTGATGGTTAGTAAACATAGAATACATGTTAACTATTATTATTTCCCCTAGTTGAAGTCGATTGTGGATAACCTTTTAACATTTGATATAATTTACTAATTTATTATATTTATTGTTTATCATCTGTCTGCTCATTAAAGTATAAGCTTCATGAGAGCAGAGCAGCTCATGTTTCAGTCATTATAATTCCAAGTGTCTAGGCCAACGCTGTCAAATAGAACTTTCTGTAATGATGGAAATGTTCTATGTTGGCCCTGTCCAGTGCAGTAACCAATAGCCATGAGTGCTTTTAGAACCTTGGAAATGTAGTTAGCGAGTGAGACTGATACAATTGTTTAGTTTTGATGAATTTAAAATTGAATTTAAATAGCTGCATGTGGCTAGTGGATAAGACAGGGGAGTTTCAAGCAGTTCATAGGAAAATGAAATTGAAAATGGGAATTTTTCTACCAACTTTTTGAAGTTCCCTCATACATTAGACAGCACAGGTCTAGAATATTACATGGTACCCAGAATTTATGAATTCAACACATTACTTCCTGGGCATTAAATGAAGAACAAAATTGCATGATTAGGTGCTTACCACACTCTTTAAAGACTATCAATAGAGGACTTAACTAAGCATACTGTTCATCCTAGAGCCCTCAAGAAGTTTCAATCTATGATTCAGTTTGCAGTTTTAATCAGTTTATGATCTGTATTTCTTTTTGGTAACAGGTCAAGAAAGATTTGGAAACATGACACGGGTCTATTACCGAGAAGCTATGGGTGCATTTATTGTCTTTGATGTCACCAGACCAGCCACATTTGAAGCAGTGACAAAGTGGAAAAGTGATTTGGACTCAAAGTTAGCTCTCCCTAATGGCAAACCAGTTTCTGCAGTTCTCTTGGCCAACAAATGTGATCAGGGGAAGGATGTACTTATGAACAATGGCCTCAAGATGGACCAGTTCTGCAAGGAGCATGGTTTCGTAGGATGGTTTGAAACATCAGCAAAGGTAATGTAACCTTAAAGGATAAATGCAATGTAGGTAAGAGTCTCAAAGAAAATAGCACATCATCATCATCATTATCACCATATGTGTTTGCCTAGTGATTAATATTTCTCAAACTATGTTAAGCTCTTTCTATGCCATTGATTCTTGTGATCAAGTGATGATGTGGGCAGGGCAGGAATTATTATGTACAATTTAAGATAATTGGAACTAAAGGAGCCAAGCAACTTTTCCGTGGTCACATTGATAATAATTAATCATTGCTCTTGTGTACTGAGTATTTATTATGTAATATGCATGTTTTACATGTATTTCCTCTGATTGCTTTTAACTGCTGTCAAGTCAGCCCTGATGCATGGCAACCCCTGTCGTGAACCATTCCTATCATCAGTTGCAGATCAAACTTCTGTGATTTGTTTGATTTTCATTGACTGATTTTCCAAAGTAGATCTCCAGGCATTTCTTCCTAGATCATCTTACTTTAGAAGTTCTGCTGGAACCTGTTCAGCATCATAGCATCACATGAGCCTCTACAGACAGATGGGTGGTGACTGTACTTGAGACACACAGACTGATAATTAAATCTGAGTCTCATGTAGGGTAGGCATTGAACCACCTATGCCCTCATAAGTAGGATCGTTAAGAGATGGGTCTCAAATTCAGTGGGTCACTTCTTTATTTGTAATTTCTTAATTTACTCCATCAGCATTTAATAATACTTCTATCGATCAGAACTGTGAAAAGTGAAAAGATAGCAAGAACATAGAACTATCACATAGAGGAAACTGAGATAGTGGGGGGACAGAGAGAATATGGCAAGTCCAAAAGTGAAGACCATAGCATTATATGGTTGGCTGGCAGCAGAGTAGCAGGAAGTGGGGTAGAGGCAAGACCAGAATAAAAGATTTGATGGGAGGATTTTGTACTTCTGCCTCACATTACTGTCCGATTTGTCAACTATATTGTTTTTGTTCTGGCCTCTTTTTTGTTTATCTTTTTATTTCTCAGTATTAGAAAAACAATTCTTGTGGGAATTTTTTTTTTAAATCTCAAAAAAAAAAAATTTAGCTAAGAAGGAAATAAAGACAACTTGAAATACAGCAAGCAAGGACAGGTATAACTATTTTAATGCATTTTTCTGTATTTTATATGTATGTTTTTAGGATTATATTCTACATACAGTTGGTTTGTTGTTCGTTTGTTTTTTAATTTAGGTATGCTTTATTCAAGTTTAATGTTCATTCCATGCTGTGTTTCAGTAAGAACAATACAGATTCTGTATCTGTGGCTTCAGTCAGATATCCAGTAGTACAAATTAGCTTCAAGTTACACAGACTGAAAGAAAGAGGTTGAGCGAGTGAAGAAGGGCAGGAGTGGGGGCCCCAGAGGGAGAGGGAAGGAGAAGAAACAGAATTGAACACAAAGGCAGGCTTTTCCATACCACCTTCAATGCTAACCTGCTTCAGAGGGTGAATAATAGTAGGCAAGAATGAGCAGCCATGGATTGTTGAACTGTTATATACATACAGTTTTATATCTTGATTTTTCTACTTTTATTTATTTATGGAGAATAAATATTAAAATTTTAGAAGCAAAAATACTGGGCTAGTGGTTTGGGATTTAGCTGTGAGCTGCTCCTTGGAAACCCTATACTGGGTTGCTATGAATTGGAACCGACTCAACGGCACTTAACAACAGTACAACAAACATAGTCAAGGAGTCCTGGTGTGGTTCTGTATATAAAGCAATGGTTCTCAAAGTCAGTTTGAAATGCAAGGTGGTAGTTCAAACTCACTAGCCACTCATGGGAAACTCTATACAGGGCTGCTGTGAGTCAGAACAGACTTGATGACACTTAACAACAGCAACAATAAGATAGGCATAAAGAGCTCTGGTAGTGTAGTGAGTTATGAATTGTGCTGCTAACCTGAAGGTCAGCAGTTCGAATCTACCAGCCACTCCACAGGAGAAAATGAAACTTTTTATTCCCATAAAAATTTACATATTTGGAAACCCATATAAGGCCACTATAAGTAGGAAAAGGAGCTCTGGTAGCATAGTGGTTGCAAATCTCAAGGTCAGCAGTTCGAAACTACCAGCTGTTCCGTGGAAGAAAGATGAGGCTTTCTGCTCCTGTAAAGATTTACAGCCTCAGAAATGTTGCTATGAGTCGGAACTGACTCCATGGCACATAACAATAACAACAATAAGTAGGAAACCACCCGACAGCACACAACTGCCATCATCACCACAACTAAGTTAGGCATTGTCACTGTAATAATGGAATTCACATGTAGATCTTCTTGTGAACCTTAGTGCACATCATTAGGAAATAATGTGAAAATATAATGAGAATGGACACTATTCCAGTAGGCTAGAAAGGAGGGATTTATGCTGGAGAACAGAATGGTCCAATTTGCACTGAGCACTGTGGAATGATAGATTGTGGGGCGTGATCCTCGAGACAAAGTGACATGATGATTACTGTGTTTCTGCGGGAAACATTGATGACTTGTTGTTAGGTGCCATCAAGTCAGTACTGACTCATAGTGACCCTATGCCCAACACGAAACATTGCCCGGTTCTGGGCAAACCTCACAATTGTTGCCACACTTGAGCCCATTGATGCTGCCATATTGCCAGTCCATCTTGCTGGGGGTCTTCCTTTTGTTCTCTGACCCTCCATCTTACTAAACATGATATCCTTCTCCAGCAACTGGTCCCTTCTGACAGTATCTCTGAAGTATGAGAGATGAAGTTTGGCCATCCTGACTTCCAGGGAGCACTCTGGCTGCACTTCTGTTTGTTCTTTTGACAGCCCATGGCTCTTTAAATATTTTCCTCCAACACCATAACTCAAATGCATCAATTCTTCTATGGTTTTCCTTATTCACTGTCCAGCTTTTGCATGTATATGAGGTTATTGAAAATACCATGTCTTAGGTCAGGCACACCTTAGTCCTCAAGCTGACATCTTTGATCTTCAACACTTTAAAAAGGTCTTGTGCAGCAGATTTGCCTAATGCAGTACGTTGTTTGATTTCTTGACTGCTGCTTCCGTGAGTGCTGGTAGTTGATCCAAGAAGAATGAAGTCCTTGACAACTTCAATCTTTTCTCTGTTAATAAGAATGTTGTTTATTGGTCCAGTGGTGAGGACTTTTGCTTTCTTTACATTGAGATATAATCCATACTGAAGACTGTGCTCTTTGATCTTCATCAGTAAATGTTTTAAGTCCTCTTCACTTTCAGCAAGCAAGGTTGTATCATCTGCATATCGCAGGTTGTTAACGAGTCTTCCTCCAATCCTGATGCCATGTTTTTCTTTTTATAACCCAGCTTCTCAGATTATTTGCTCAGCATACAAGTTGAATAAGTATGGTGAAAAAATACAACCCTGTCACACACCTTTTTTAATTTTAAGCCATTCAGTGTTCCCATGTTCTGTTTGAATTACTGCTTCTTGGTCTAGGTACAGATTCCTCATGAACACAATTAAGTGTTCCGGAATACTCATACTTTGCAATGCTGTCCATAGTTTGTCATGATCCACACAATTGAAATCCTTTGTGTAGTCAATAAAGCACAAGTAAACATCTTTTTGGTATTCTCTGCTTTCAGATCCATCAGACATCAGCAATGATATCCCTCATTCCACATCCTCTTCTGAATCCAGCTTGAACCTCTGGAAATTCTCTATCAGTGTATGCTTGTAGCCATTTCTGTATTACCTTTAGTAAAACTTTACTCACATGGGCCACTCGTCTGGCAGTTTGTCATACTGTTGTGGCTTGTGAGTTGTTGTGATTCTGGAATCTATGCCACCAGTATTTTAAAAACCCACACGTCATCTATGGTAGACAGGTTTCAGATGAGCTTCCAGATGAAGACAGACTAGGATGAAGGAGTGATGAACTACTTCTGAATATTTAGTCACTGAAAACCTTATGAATAGCAGAGAAACACTGTCAGATACAGTGTCAGAAATGAGCCCCTCAGGTTGGAAGGCACTCAAAATGCAACTGGGGAAGAGCTGCTTCCTCAGAGTAGAGTTGACTGCGATGACTTGAATGGAGTAAAACCCGTGGGGGTAAAACCCGCATGACCTTTGTTTGCTGATGGGGCACAACTCAAAATGAAGAGAAACAGCTATAAAAATCCATTAATAATCAGAACATGGAATGTATGAAGTATGAATCTAGGCAAATTGGAAATTGTCAAAAATGAAATGGAACACATAAACACCGATACCTTAGGCATTAGTGAGCTGAAATGGACTGGTATTGGCCACTTTGAATCTGACAACCACATGGTTTACTATACCAGAAATGACAAAGTGAAGAGGAATGGTGTTGCATTCATTTTCAAAAAGAACATATCCAGATCAGCCATGAGGTACAACTCTGTCTGTGATAGGATAATATCTCTGCGCCTACAGGGAAGATCAGTTAATAACACTATTATTCAAATTTACACACCAACCACTAAAGCCAGTTTGGACGAAATAGAAGAATTCTACCAACTTCTTCAATCTGAATTAACTAGGTTAGCGACTATGAAGACTGGAAAGAAAACAAAAATCAGTTCATAGTTCAATGAGGTAGAAAATGATGGATATTGTATCCAGAATCACTGTGACATGAGAATATCTCTAAAGTGCAAATCTAACAAGATTAAGCAGCTTCTTTTTTGAGGGATGATGGAGAGGGAGAAGAGGGAAGTGATACTGCTTTTCTGAGGGATGATGGAGAGGGAGAAGAGGGAAATGATACTATTTTTTTGAGGGATGATGGAGAGGGAGGAGAGGGAAGTGATACTTCTTTTTTGAGGTATGATGGATAGGGAGAAGAGGGAAATGATACTGCTTTTTCTCTTATAGCAGTAATGTTCTTGTTTCATCCATTCCACCGAATTCTCAATGCCTTTCTTTTCTCTCACTGGTCACTGTGTGTGCCCACCTGTTGGAAAGTCGTTACTCCATAGTTCCTAGCTTCTTAACCTCCAT